GAATTTGTTTATTATTGAATCATATCAACTTTTGAATATTGCTTTAAACACAACCTTTTCATATTTCCTTTGGTAGTATGCAATCTCTGAACAGTGGTTCCCTTTTTCTTTGTGGGGATATGATAAGAACTGACCTCTTCTGATACTCTATAGACTCTTTTAGTTAACCTTTTGGTTAACACTCCCATTGTTGAGGAAGAAAACATCCTTCAAATGATAAGTTTGTTTGGTGCATGAAGTTGACTCTTTTTTTTTTGTCTTCTTATCGCAAATATGATTTTCAATGGAGTCTGACGAAATACATACCATTCTATGGTGGGGCTGAATATCATGATTACCATAACTACGTTGGAGGAAAAAACCAAAACAACTTTGCTTCGGTTTTCACTTACTGTGATTACATCTATGTAACTGACAAAGTGAGTGTTGAAACTTCAGTTGTTTTCCACTTAGCGTCTACCTATTTTGATGGAACATTGACATTGTGGTTATATGTTCTTCAGCAGGTAATTAGTTTATCTCTCGGCATAACATATCTCCATTACGAGTTCACTTAACAATCAATGTGATCTCTAACGATAGTTATTGATGTTTCTTGATATTCTTGCTTGCATATAATCCAATAGTAAATTATGTATCTTATGAGTGCAGAGCAAGGAGGAGTCCAAGAAGAGCAATAAGCGGATGGAGGAGAGAAATTCGATTAGTAAACCCTAAAACTCCTCACAAGGATTGAAGTTTCTAGGAGGTGATAAAGCAAACAAAACTAATTACTTACCATGAGTAATCTACTAATCTAAGTCAAGCTTTACAAAGGAAAGGGCTATTTTTGTTTATTTCTCATTCCATAGATATATATTACTAGATTTTTGTCCCACGTCAAACGCGGGATTAGAATATTCAAAAAAAATTTCATAATTTTTATACACTGAAAAAATTAGAAATAACAAAGATCAAATGATATATTTCCTATATAGAAAAATATATTTTATCTTACAAAATTTAATTTGCATGACACTTAGAGTAAATGTAAGCATGGTTTTAATGTAGATTGAATACGCTTGAGATTATCATTTCTTTCAAACTTATTTGAATTTATCAAAACCAAAAAAAAATATTGCGTTAGTATGTAAAAAATTTTT